GTCTCAGTGGCTCAGAGCACTGGCTGCTCTTCCAGAGGACCTGGATTCATTTCCCAGCATCCCACATGGCAGCTCACAACTGTCTGTAACTCTAGTCCCAAAGCATCCTATGCCTTTTTTCTTGCCTCCTTGGACACAGGCATACATTCAAGCAAATGCTCGAACATATGAAATAGAAGTAAATAAAGTCAAAAGTTTTAAACTTTTTAAAATTTAAAGCAAGCCTATGAGACATGAGATATCATTATGGCTTTTTAAAAGCATGCCTTTTCCATTCTCCCCCTCTTCTCCCCGCTCTCAGCTACACTTAACTCCCCCTGAAGCCCTTCGCTGACGATCTCTTTTCATCCTTCCTGTCCGTGTGTCCTCTCACCCACTCCCATCCATCTTTGTCACCCATTTCACCCTTCTCAATCTCCTTTCTAATTCCGCAAGCCTAAATCTTCACATTTCCCCGCTCCATCTTTCTTGTTTTGAAACAGCGTCTCATGTAGCCGACAGTGGCCTCGAACTTGAACTTGTAACACAGCCAAATCTGGCTTGGGTCTCCTGATCCTTCTGGTCCTGATCCTTCTGGCTCCATCTCCCGAGGGCTGGGAACACTGAGCAGCACACAATTGTCTCCACTTGATGGTCACAGTCCTCCCTTCCCACCGAGTGTCCGAGCTGGTGACAGTCTCACAAGGATGCCTTGTGAGCTTGACTGTGACAGACAGGATCTGTCACAGGAGCATTTTGTAAATGTGAATCCACTCAGCCTACCACGAGGACTTGGTAAGTGGCCAGAGTCAGGGGAACAAGTAAAATATGTGGGTGGGCCCCTCCGCAAACCCGTATGAATGACTCTCTTTAATACAACCTAGAAAGGAGGACTCTGGAGACTGGGAACCAAGGCGAGGCCCTAGAACCAGGAAGTTACACCCATGTTAATATTTAGAAAACTGTGGGTTGTAACAGCCCACTTTCCAGGCTCCTGGATGAAAGAGTCAGTGTGGGTCAGCCATGCGAAATCTGAAAAGGCTCTTTGACATGGCCACCCTCAGCTCAGATCTTCACCGGGACCCTTAGTGACTCTTCCTGCTCTGCCTGTGTCTTCTGTGCACTTGGCTTCCCCCCAACAAGGCTAGAGGCTCCTCCAGGGGGCTGGCAGTGTCGTGCATCTTCCTGTTATTCTCCTGGCTCAGCTCCCTGTCTGGTGACCAGAGGTGTCCAGTCGGTACCTCAGAGTTTGAACTGAGTCTTCTGGGCCACCGTGATGAAGCCGTATTTCCCAGGGCATCAGGCTTCCCAGTGAAGTACCTACCTCAGGGGCGCTTCTCAGATTGGTTGAATAGATGATGACCTGATTCCACTGGCTTGCTGAAGTGCCCTTCCTTCCAGGATTCTGCATCTTAGAAGAGGGGAACCGTAGATGGCATTGCTTAACAACGGAAGTGGGGTTAGGTGAGCAGGGTTGTAGTGGGCAGGCACTGAGCCCCGGGGAGAGGGATAGTTACAAGCAAGGCCTGGTTGGTACCCTGCCGTTCATGGGCCTCTCCTGTGGCTGCAGAATTTTGGGCCATCAAGGGATTGCTCTGTCCTTCTGTCC